GACGTTCACCAGCCGCAAGTCCTTCTCCATCTCTGTAAGTGATAGGCTCAGCCATCTCACCGCATCCATGTACATCTACAGTTGACCTGCTCTTGCGGAGCAGAGTACATTGTCCGTAGCCAGAGAACGCTTTCCACACAGATTCGAAAACGAATTCCAGCATGGTTTTACAAGGAAGGAGGGAAGAATGGGTAAAGCTGTGCTCTAGAACAGCTGATCGACTCCTATCACTTTACTAACCCTGAGCATGATTTTAAGTTGTGGTGAAAGATGGTTGCTAGCCAAATTGTTAGACAGTAATTGAGGTCAATGTTAGTCATGCGAAAACATGGTCAAGATGGACAGGCGGATACAGTTAACATAGAGATTAACTGACACAGCCACAAGAGATGCAAGATTAGCTCTGTGTGAGAAACAACCAATCAACAGACTGTAATTTCTACAAACATTAACCTACAATAATGTACATCAAAATCTATAAATATATGTTGATTTTCCGTAATGAACGTTCTGTTGCCTGGCCCTTGTCTTCTGTTGTTACAAAGTCTGTCTAGTCAATCCATGCTAACTTGCCGCGTTTTCTTCCTTATGCACTTCTAAATGCAGCGGAGCCTTTGGCCATTCATAAAATTAAGCCAGCCAGCTCACCTTGGCCGTAGAGGGATAGACATCTATTTCTTTATTTGTTTAGTTAATTAGTTAGTTAGTTAGTTAGTTAATTAGTTAGTTAGTCAGCTAGTTAGCTAGTTAGTTAGTCACAGGTTAGTTAGTTAGTTAGTCACAGGTTAGTTAGTTAGTTAGTTAGTTAGTTAGTTAGTTAGTTAGTTAGTTAGTTAGTTAGTCAGTTAGTTAGTTAGCTAGTTAGTCAGTTAGTAATTTAGTTAGTCACAGGTTAGTTAGTTAGTTAGTCAGTCAGTTAGTTAGTTAGTTAGTTAGTTAGTCACCTAGTTAGTTAAGTGGTTAGTCACAGGTTAGTTAGTTAGTTATTTAGTTAGTTAGTTAGCTAGTTAGTTAGTTAGTTAGTTAGTTAGTCACATTTTAGTTAGTTAGTTAGTCACAGTTTAGTTAGTTAGTTAGTTAGTTAGTTAGTTAGTCACAGGTTAGTTAGTTAGTTAGTTAGTTAGTCACAGGTTAGTTAGTTAGTTAGTTAGTTAATCTATGCACATTTCCTTCATTGCTATGATTAATAATATTATTATTACAATTCTCACTTTGAATTATTTGCACCCGTCATTCTAAATTCTTTACAATATTGAATTCTATCTCATAGAAGAATTTCACACCATGTTATGTAACTTTACATATTTGCCCGCCAACGCTATTATTATACACCCCTTTGCAACATCTATGCATCTTATGAATTATTCTATATATGACATTACTTATTTCGCCACTTGACATTTAACTATTATTAATGGAATGAAGAGAACACGAAGTTCAGCAAAGACAACTGTCTTTCCGGCGATTTCATTTTCAAAAGCAGCTATACAATCGCATTTAAATACATAATTTTACACAGATATAATTTTTATTTGATTCCGCACAATTACGAAGACGAATAAAAGGTGACAACTAGATATTTTCAACTAGATATGGTTTACGAGAGGCTTAGAGACAAAATCACACAAGATTAGGACGAATTATAAGTCTGTAAAAAATGAGCATGGAAACAAATTGAAATAATTATTTTCAACTTGAAATGGAGGTTAGGAGGTGTGAATATAGATTACAAGAGTCTTAGAAAGAAACAAGAATTGCACAGGATGAGGATATAATTGCAAAATAATTGTTTTCAAAGAAGTGTAAATGTGAGCAGTAAAGGAAGCATGGAAACAAGCTTAAAATAAGTGTGTTCTTATGACTGAAAAAGTGGGATGAATTGAATGAAGACAGAGAGAATAAGATCCACACACACACACACAGCGAACGAAAAAAAGTGATACAAAAAGTCGAAATGAACAAAAAGAGATAAACATGTGTCAAGTACATCTGAAGGAAGTCTTGTCTCCAGGTTTTCTAAGCCTATATCAAAATAATTTTATGCCTCAAGCAAATAAAATCCTCATAAACAACAATTATCAGACACCTTGTGGATACAGAGTGTGGTGGGATAAGTGTTTGGAAAATTTCTCACGAGAGATCTAGTCACGATATTGCTACTTATTCAGGTGTTCCTGATAACTTGGTGGTTTATGATCCCTGCTTGTTCTCCCAGACTGAATATCATTGTTCTGACATTTGCATGTCATCTAACATCTCTGACGGAATCCTCATTGTTTCTCATTGTTCCTGTTCATTCTGTAATTTCACTGCTTCTCTTTTTGTGGATGTCTCATGCATGATGAGATTGATGACGATGTGTTGTTCTATGACGGTGATTCAATTTGAGTGAGTGAAGGTCATCATTCTGACGTTGAAGTGTCTGTGGGAATTATTTTGTGTGTGTGTGTGGGATTCTTGCTGACAGAGTTTCGATCTCACCCGTTGTCTGGAATATTCTACTTGATTATCTGGTAACTCCATTATGGTTGATAAGATTTTATTTTGATAAGTCACACAGTGCCTGTTGTACAGCAATATTAACTGACAACCATGCTTCGAGCACAAACTATTGCCACTGATAATCATATCAAGACACTACTCACAGCATATCTCTAGCTTCTTGACACACATATAAACTCACTCACTGGTGAAGGGAATAAAATTCGCATTTGAATCGGAGGAAAATGAACAAGGAGAATTAGCCATGATGTTAGATTGTAAAGTCAAATCAAACTAACAGAAGAAAGTAAACTGAACACTAGCGTTTATAAAAGGCAAAGGCAACGCACTGTAGTAGATATTTTGACTTTAATTCATCTCATCCTCCGTTAACTGTTAAGGCAGGCTTAGTCAAGTGTCAAACAAACCGAGCAGTAGCACTAAGCAGCACAAAAAGATACCTGAATGATGAAATGAAACAGATAGAAGAGGCGTTGGTGTTCGATAACTATCCCACGAAATTCATTAGGAAGATCAGAAAAGTCCAAAAGAAAACATAAATAAGAGAGAATATACGGAATCTATTGTTATACCATATAAGAAGGGGAAATCTGAGACCCTATGTAGGATTCATAGTAAAGCAGGAATTACGGTGGTATTCGAACATGCAAATTCACTCAGACAGGACAAGCTCTGTAGGCTAAGGGAACCGGTGGAGCGCATTAAACAAAATAATATAATCTACAGAATACCTTGCAATTACTGTGAGTTAAGTGAACTATATAAGTCAAACTAGTAGATCAGGGGTATTCAGATCGTCGGAAGATACGAATATAGCTAAGGGAGTAATAGTTGACCCCGAGAAGAAGATGAGTAATTTAGAAAAACTCAGCTATAGCACTGCATGCATTGACACACAACGACACAATAGGATGAGTGGGATAAGGTTAAGATTCTAAGAAGTAATCTATGTCGCTGGAGAGAGGGAGAGAGAGAGATTGATTACTGAATCCTGCCTGGTTCATTGAGTCTACAATCAACACATGCAATAGGAATGACTCCATTCGAATAACGAAAATATGGAAGATATTATTACTAACAGTCAAATCAGAAGGGGATGACAAATAATCTTAAAATTCTATTTCAATTCACTTACACCATAACATTCTAACAAGTTATTTATTATTATGACTGTAGAAACACTCGTCTTGTTTCCCATCTGATCAGAACTCAGATATGTTCTGCTCAGCTATGCGGTAGAACGCGACGATTGTTTTCCTGTGTTCACAATATAACACGTCAGTTTCGAACGATACACAGGACACTTTCTCGAGATCCCTGAATCCTTTAAAATATTACATGTCCAGAAGACACTAGATTTACAACGATTTACTGAAGAGATTACAGTGTAGTGTATTGTTTCCAAGGCGCCTTATGCATGCATAATGAGAGTGCGGTCTGTCTGTCTGTCTGTCTGTCTGCCTGTCTCTAAATTCCTTAGTGAGTGTATTCTGATTTCGACTGCATTGATTACATAATCGTATGCTTTAAAGTTTCAGGAGCGGTTGGATCGATTTCACGGGTAAATTCGCCAACCCTACACCCAACCTTCCCTCTCTTCCCTGGCTTAGGACTGGCTAAATTGTAGTAAACTGAGCTAGGTTGCATAGTTATCCATATTACAGATTTCCCTTTACTGAGCTGAATTGAAACATATGAGCTGCATGGCTTTCTTGAATTGTAATGTAACCTTTGTATTGCCAGCAACGTTTATTCTTCTGTTTTCTGTCTCCTGTCTTCAAATCATCCGCGTTTTCTGTCCTGGTGAGGACTGGAACTAAAAAGGTAGTCATGCTTACATTTTGTGACAGCTAATAAAAATCGTTCTAACGTTGAAGTAGGGTTATTTCCACTCTGTTATGACCGCTGTAATTTCAATCAGTCTGCAGCTGATGACAGACAGCCTGTGAAATGAAATGACGTCATTTTATACTGCAAATCTGATTTTATTTTTCTCTTGCATTTATCGACAAACGACGTTACGCTTTGTGATGCTTTGACAATTTGATAGCAAGTTGAAGGCCTCTAGATATCGAATACTGCAAACAGCAGAGGCCATTGCAGTTCGCTCAAGTCAACCGGAGCTCAGCGTGCAAAAGAAACAGGTCGATCGTGCCAGCCACTACCGTTACTCTGACCCGCTGTCGGACCTTTGAATTCATAAATTTTCAACTATTTTCCCGCATGAAACAATTTTCTACTGATTGATTGGGATGAGTAGTAGCATATCACTGATAGATCACCTCGATCTGGCTGGCTGGCTGGCTGGCTGGCTAGCTGGCTAGCTGGCAAGCATTCACTACTGGTTGATATAAGTGGTATGCCACTACCCCTCCCAATTAGTCAGTAGTTTATAGTGTTATGTAAAAACAGTTCAACTCATTCGAAGAACATTTTAAAAAATAGAAAAAAAGGCATGAGAAGGAACAAAGAATATTTTTGTTGTTTATGTGACTCACTGTGTTTTGAGGACCTGATTTATCGTTTGAACTACCCGTATTTCGAATTGATATATTACGTATACGTGTAGCAGGATCATTCTGTGGATCTACACCTCCGAGTATAACCTGCAAAATAAAGGGCAAATCAATTAATAATAATATTATTATTATTGCTAGTATTACCGTAACTATTCATTCTAAAGAGATCAAACCACAAACATGTGAACTGAAATAAACTTTATTTCAGTATCTCACCACACACACACACACATCTCACGCATTTGGAACCCTTGACGCCATAGAAGGAGAATTCGACCTCCCGAAATAAACCTCCATCCTAACAGGAATTTAAAGGACTGAACGAAATGATGTATTCCTTTTCAATTAGTTCCTCATCATCATTGGACTTACACTAATGCACATATATATATATATATAAGAAAACCGTCTCCATGCATTTGGAATTCAAAGGTGATCAAGCGTCATCAGATATGCTCAAAAGCCGTCTCTCTACAGCAGTTGGTAAGGCGTTGTTTGCAACAAAATTACAAATGACGTTCACCAGCCGCAAGTCCTTCTCCATCTCTGTAAGTGATAGGCTCAGCCATCTCACCGCATCCATGTACATCTATCAGTTGACCTGCTCTTGTGGAGCAGAGTACATTGTCCGTAGCCAGAGAACGCTTTCCACACAGATTCGAAAACGAATTCCAGCATGGTTTTACAAGGAAGGAGGGAAGAATGTGTGAAGCTGTGTTCTAGAACAGCTGATCGACTCCTATCACTTTACTAACCCTGAGCATGATTTTAAGTTGTGGTGAAAGATGGTTGCTAGCCAAATTGTTAGACAGTAATTGAGGTCAATGTTAGTCATGCGAAAACATGGTCAAGATGGACAGGCGGATACAGTTAACATAGAGATTAACTGACACAGCCACAAGAGATGCAAGATTAGCTCTGTGTGAGAAACAACCAATCAACAGACTGTAATTTCTACAAACATTAACCTACAATAATGTACATCAAAATCTATAAATATATGTTGATTTTCCGTAATGAACGTTCTGTTGCCTGGCCCTTGTCTTCTGTTGTTACAAAGTCTGTCTAGTCAATCCATGCTAACTTGCCGCGTTTTCTTCCTTATGCACTTCTAAATGCAGCGGAGCCTTTGGCCATTCATAAAATTAAGCCAGCCAGCTCACCTTGGCCGTAGAGGGATAGACATCTATTTCTTTATTTGTTTAGTTAATTAGTTAGTTAGTTAGTTAGTTAATTAGTCAGTTAGTCAGCTAGTTAGCAAGTTAGTTAGTCACAGGTTAGTTAGTTAGTTAGTTATTTAGTTAGTCAGTTAGTTAGTTAGCTAGTTAGTTAGTTAGTTAGTCACAGGTTAGTTAGTTAGTTAGTCACAGTTTAGTTAGTTAGTTAGTTAGTTAATCTATGCACATTTCCTTCATTACTATGATTATTAATATTATTATTACAATTCTCACTTTGAATTATTTCCACCTGTCATTCTAAATTCTTTACAATATTGAATTCTATCTGATAGAAGAATTTCACACCATGTTATGTAACTTTACATATTTGCCCGCCAACGCTATTATTATACACCCCTTTGCAACATCTATGCATCTTATGAATTATTCTATATATGACATTACTTATTTCGCCACTTGACATTTAACTATTATTAGAATGAAGAGAACACGAAGTTCAGCAAAGACAACTGTCTTTCCGGCGATTTCATTTTCAAAAGCAGCTATACAATCGCATTTAAATACATAATTTTACACAGATATAATTTTTATTTGATTCCGCACAATTACGAAGACGAATAAAAGGTGACAACTAGATATTTTCAACTAGATATGGTTTACGAGAGGCTTAGAGACAAAATCACACAAGATTAGGACGAATTATAAGTCTGTAAAAAATGAGCATGGAAACAAATTGAAATAATTATTTTCAACTTGAAATGGAGGTTAGGAGGTGTGAATATAGATTACAAGAGTCTTAGAAAGAAACAAGAATTGCACAGGATGAGGATATAATTGCAAAATAATTGTTTTCAAAGAAGTGTAAATGTGAGCAGTAAAGGAAGCATGGAAACAAGCTTAAAATAAGTGTGTTCTTATGACTGAAAAAGTGGGATGAATTGAATGAAGACAGAGAGAATAAGATCCACACACACACACACAGCGAACGAAAAAAAGTGATACAAAAAGTCGAAATGAACAAAAAGAGATAAACATGTGTCAAGTACATCTGAAGGAAGTCTTGTCTCCAGGTTTTCTAAGCCTATATCAAAATAATTTTATGCCTCAAGCAAATAAAATCCTCATAAACAACAATTATCAGACACCTTGTGGATACAGAGTGTGGTGGGATAAGTGTTTGGAAAATTTCTCACGAGAGATCTAGTCACGATATTGCTACTTATTCAGGTGTTCCTGATAACTTGGTGGTTTATGATCCCTGCTTGTTCTCCCAGACTGAATATCATTGTTCTGACATTTGCATGTCATCTAACATCTCTGACGGAATCCTCATTGTTTCTCATTGTTCCTGTTCATTCTGTAATTTCACTGCTTCTCTTTTTGTGGATGTCTCATGCATGATGAGATTGATGACGATGTGTTGTTCTATGACGGTGATTCAATTTGAGTGAGTGAAGGTCATCATTCTGACGTTGAAGTGTCTGTGGGAATTATTTTGTGTGTGTGTGTGTGTGATTCTTGCTGACAGAGTTTCGATCTCACCCGTTGTCTGGAATATTCTACTTGATTATCTGGTAACTCCATTATGGTTGATAAGATTTTATTTTGATAAGTCACACAGTGCCTGTTGTACAGCAATATTAACTGACAACCATGCTTCGAGCACAAACTATTGCCACTGATAATCATATCAAGACACTACTCACAGCATATCTCTAGCTTCTTGACACACATATAAACTCACTCACTGGTGAAGGGAATAAAATTCGCATTTGAATCGGAGGAAAATGAACAAGGAGAATTAGCCATGATGTTAGATTGTAAAGTCAAATCAAACTAACAGAAGAAGGTAGACTGAACACTAGCGTTTATAAAAGGCAAAGGCAACGCACTGTAGTAGATATTTTGACTTTAATTCATCTCATCCTCCGTTAACTGTTAAGGCAGGCTTAGTCAAGTGTCAAACAAACCGAGCAGTAGCACTAAGCAGCACAAAAAGATACCTGAATGATGAAATGAAACAGATAGAAGAGGCGTTGGTGTTCGATAACTATCCCACGAAATTCATTAGGAAGATCAGAAAAGTCCAAAAGAAAACATAAATAAGAGAGAATATACGGAATCTATTGTTATACCATATAAGAAGGGGAAATCTGAGACCCTATGTAGGATTCATAGTAAAGCAGGAATTACGGTGGTATTCGAACATGCAAATTCACTCAGACAGGACAAGCTCTGTAGGCTAAGGGAACCGGTGGAGCGCATTAAACAAAATAATATAATCTACAGAATACCTTGCAATTACTGTGAGTTAAGTGAACTATATAAGTCAAACTAGTAGATCAGGGGTATTCAGATCGTCGGAAGATACGAATATAGCTAAGGGAGTAATAGTTGACCCCGAGAAGAAGATGAGTAATTTAGAAAAACTCAGCTATAGCACTGCATGCATTGACACACAACGACACAATAGGATGAGTGGGATAAGGTTAAGATTCTAAGAAGTAATCTATGTCGCTGGAGAGAGGGAGAGAGAGAGATTGATTACTGAATCCTGCCTGGTTCATTGAGTCTACAATCAACACATGCAATAGGAATGACTCCATTCGAATAACGAAAATATGGAAGATATTATTACTAACAGTCAAATCAGAAGGGGATGACAAATAATCTTAAAATTCTATTTCAATTCACTTACACCATAACATTCTAACAAGTTATTTATTATTATGACTGTAGAAACACTCGTCTTGTTTCCCATCTGATCAGAACTCAGATATGTTCTACTCAGCTATGCGGTAGAACGCGACGATTGTTTTCCTGTGTTCACAATATAACACGTCAGTTTCGAACGTTACACAGGACACTTTCTCGAGATCCCTGAATCATTTCCAATATTACATGTCCAGAAGACACTAGATTTACAACGATTTACTGAAGAGATTACAGTGTAGTGTATTGTTTCCAAGGCGCCTTATGCATGCATAATGAGAGTGCGGTCTGTCTGTCTGTCTGTTGCTGCCTGTCTCTAAATTCCTTAGTGAGTGTATTCTGATTTTGACTGCATTGATTACATAATCGTATGCTTTAAAGTTTCAGGAGCGGTTGGATCGATTTCCCAGGTAAATTCGCCAACCCTACACCCAACCTTCCCTCTCTTCCCTGGCTTAGGACTGGCTAAATTGTAGTAAACTGAGCTAGGTTGCATAGTTATCCATATTACAGATTTCCCTTTACTGAGCTGAATTGAAACATATGAGCTGCATGGCTTTCTTGAATTGTAATGTAACCTTTGTATTGCCAGCAACGTTTATTCTTCTGTTTTCTGTCTCCTGTCTTCAAATCATCCGCGTTTTCTGTCCTGGTGAGGACTGGAACTAAAAAGGTAGTCATGCTTACATTTTGTGACAGCTAATAAAAATCGTTCTAACGTTGAAGTAGGGTTATTTCCACTCTGTTATGACCGCTGTAATTTCAATCAGTCTGCAGCTGATGACAGACAGCCTGTGAAATGAAATGACGTCATTTTATACTGCAAATCTGATTTGATTTTTCTCTTGCATTTATCGACAAACGACGTTACGCTTTGTGATGCTTTGACAGTTTGATAGCAAGTTGAAGGCCTCTAGATACCGAATACTGCAAACAGAAGAGGCCATTGCAGTTCGCTCAAGTCAACCGGAACTCAGCGTGCAAAAGTAACAGGTCGATCATGCCAGCCACTACCGTTACTCTGACCCGCTGTCGGACCTTTGAATTCATAAATTTTCAACTATTTTCCCGCATGAAACAATTTTCTACTGATTGATTGGGATGAGTAGTAGCATATCACTGATAGATCACCTCGATCTGGCTGGCTGGCTGGCTGGCTGGCTAGCTGGCAAGCATTCACTACTGGTTGATATAAGT